AGAGAGAGAGAGAGAGAGAGAGAGAGAGAGAGAGACACAAAATCTGAAGCAGGCTCCAGGCTCTGAGCTTTCAGCACAGAGCCCTACTCATGGCTCGAACTCACGGACCTCGAGATCATGACCTGAGCCAAAGCCAGAGGCTTAAATCAGCCACCCAGGTGCCACTAACTGGTTTATATTTTTGAAGGATCGCTCTGGCTGCTCTGCTGAGAACAGACTGTACAGGGTGAGGGACGAGGATGGAGACCAGGCAGGAGACCATGGCGACGGAGGTTCCCACCAGATGATGGTGGGAGCAGTGGAGATGGAAAGCAGAGATTAGACCATGGATAGTATTTTGAAGAACAGTCAGGCAGACAGCATTTACCAATCTATTGGAAGGAGGGTTGAGAAAGAAAGGAAGCAAACGTGACCCCAAGGTTTTTGGCTTGAACACCTGGAAGGGTAGAGTCGTCTTCCATGGAGACGAGGATGATTCGGTTAGAACAGGTTTCAGGCGGAAGATGGGAGTTCAGTTTGGTCCTGTTAAATCTAAGATACTAATTGAATACCACTGGATTAGCAGGTAGACATGTGAATCTAGCATTTAAGAAGGAAGTCTGGGCAAGAGACAGAGAGAGAGTGTGGGAGGGGGAGACTGCATTCGGGAGCCGACAGCACACAGGCTGCATTCAGAACTCTGAGACGAAATGAAATCATGAGGGAGGGAGCGTAGATAATAAGTCAAAGGTCAACACCCAGCTCCGGACCTCTCCAAACAGAAGAGGTCGGGAAGTGGAGGTGAACCAGTGCGGAAGACTGAGCAGGAGTCACGAGTAGATAGGAGCAGAATCAAGAGAGGTGACTTGGGAGCCATGTGAAAAGGTGTTTCAAGGAGGGGGTGGCTTACTGTATGCATTGCCACCTTCAGGGCAGAGAGGACGAAGACAGAACTGACTGTGGACATCACGAAGGCTTTGGCAAGACGAACAGGATGGAGAGGTGACAGCATAAGCCTGGTGGGCAGAGGTTCCAGGGAGAATGATCCAATTACCAAGGTACTGGGATACTGAGAATAGAGGAACACGTTCACCGAGACCATGGAGGACGCAGAGGCAGAATCCAGACAGTCAGAAACTTGGGAGGACACACGGCCTACTTTCTTCTACACTTTTTTTTTTTTTTTT